TCCCCCTTTGTATTTCTTATATATGTATTTTTATGCTTAAATCCTAGCTTTGTTACGAATATAATATTGCCAGACTTGTGTAATGCTCTCATACATGTATAATGTATAACCAGAGTGTGTTGGTTTTTATTATCACTTTGACCCTTTTTTATGATATATAGGAGCTCAACCATTACCAAAAAATTACTTTTAGGAATGAAACATGCACAAAATTGTTGCTAACCATTTTATGACCACATCCCACATCAATCACTACGATGAATTTATTTTCAGAATTTATGAATCACGGCTAACGAAATTTTAAAATACCAAATCAATTAACTACTACTGATGTAGCCAAATACATTCTTATATTGGTTAATTTTCAAGTATGATAATATAAAATGTAGTAAACAGTGTAGATTTAACATTCTTAGCCCCCTTCAAAAGCCTTTTTCAATGTTATTTGGTGCATGTATACGTTTGAAGCGGCACGCTGGGTGACGTAATTGCCGCCGTTGCACGCGGCGCGCTGATTGGTCGAAAGTTACCATGCAACCTACTTAGTCCAGTAACCTTGGTCCGATGTTACCATTCGCCAAATATGTCACCGATTTTAAAATGTCGATTTGTCTTTGAGAATACGGATAGTTTAAGTCGATCGACATTTTGGTAGACAGTAGCAGACATTATGACGAATGCAACATTTTTAATAGACATTCGAGAATAGGGCCCCAGAAATGTTATTAAAAGTACCGAGAGTTACTAAAGTGTACCTAATTAAATATTTTAACAATTTCATTCTTGAATTATTTAAGTAGGTATCTCCACTGTTATTGTGACTTCTCCACATGTTTTGGTAGATTTAATTTTTTCAATGTTATTTTTAATTTCATGGGGTGTTGAGGTTTCTAACTTAAATATAGTTCTGTTAAATAACTTTCTTGGTGAAGTTGGTTTGAGATATTTTCTGTGCTAATTTTGGATCAATTTTAGTGAAGACAGTGTTTAATTCATCGGCAATAGGCATACTACCTACAGTTTTATTTTTCATTACTATTTGCAATATGTTTAATTATATACATTTAAAATTTATTATTTCTATTAATAACAAAAAAAAACCTTAAGATTTAAAAAAAATCCTACATTTCACGAGTATTCTGACGATTAGACAACATTCTAAGGTCGTGTCTTCATAAATCGTGAGCTTCCAAGCAAAAAGCACTAAGTCAAAAATTTGTCAAAATGATTTTATATTTTTATATATCATATAAAAACAGTACATGGTATTCCGAAAACATATACATTTTCTTTGAAGCAGTTGATAATCCCTAAATAATTTATAAAAAAATTAGAACTTCATTGAAACTTTAAATTGCTTATAACTCATAAATATATTTTTTGGCTTAATGCCTTTTGCTTTTAAGCCCACGAAATGATCTATGACGTGCGATATTGAATATCAGAGGGGAAATGTTCGCAGAAATAAACTTTAACTGGAGCAGGGAGATACGTGAACACACGTCACCAAAAATAACATGTGTACCCATCAAAGTGAGTTTTTTGAGACCTTATCTAGAAAATAAAACGTTTTGTTTTCGAGATAAAGTGAGAAATTTTTCATAATATACAGGGTGGCTCACGCTCAACGGGACGGAGCTTTATGGGAAAACGACCAAAGATATAAAAAATTCGTTTGGGAGGAATACGTAGGTTACAGACGGCTACAATTTAAAATTTGTTAGATGTATACAGGATGTCCCACATAAGAAAAAAAAATTAGTTCATTAAAAATTATTCAAACAAGAGTAAACAATTAATTTCTGGGAGACTTTTTTTCCTTAAAAATTCAAATAAATCGAAAACTAAAATGCGTGCGGGAAAGTGGGTAAAAATACACGGTCGTAGAAAAAATATATTGTTATACATATATTTAAAGTGACCCTATTTTGAAAAGTAGAAAGCGGGACAAATCGAAAACAAGGATATATTTCTACGAATTCTCTTTGCAGTAGTGACGGTTTGGTTCATTTAAGAGCAAACAAATTTTAAATTGTAGCCGTCTGTAACCTACGTATTCCTCCCAAACGAATTTTTTATATCTTTGGTCGTTTTCCCATAAAGCTCCGTCCCGTTGAGCGTGAGCCACCCTGTATATTAAAAATATAATAATGTTAAGAATACTAATTTAGAAACACCCCCTACAAATAGGATGTTTCGTTCACTACATTTTTTGCTAAATCAACGAAATATGATATTTACTTCTCCGGAAGAACAATGACACAAGTACACATTTTGACTTTTTGAGTTAATTATAGTATAATTACAAAGGAAATTGTACTTATCTGGTGAAAAAAACGTAAACTAGAGTAAATTTGCTTCCTCGAAGTATTTAACGATTATTTCCAAACTGTTCCTCAACTTCTCAGCTGAAAGTTTCATACTACAGGTTTTTTGCATTTGGCGATTTATGCTGAATCATTAATTTTCACTTATGTCATTGTTTTTCCGGAGAAGCGAATATGTTAACAAACTGACTATGTAGTATTTCTTCAATTTACGCTATTTATCATAAAGAATAAAAATAAACTGATTTATTATTATTATTAACAATATCAAAAACAAACAAAATATTCTAAAATAGGACCTGGAGTTCTCATGAAATTATAAAAAATTCGATGCAGTGTGTTTGAGATAAAGTTCATTCAACAGATGGTTTTCATTGTAAAATTCCAATATTTTGTGAAAGAAACATATGAAACAAGAAATCCAGTGGCGCACACCTATTTTCTAAGCCAATTTTGTCTTCATTTTCATATATCTAGAAAACATCAGTTTAAATAGTATTTTTAAGAAATTTTTTAGCCTGTAAGTATATTTGTATTATAGAGGGTGGAGTAAATGGAGCTATTCTGACTCAAAATATGACCGCTATACAATGACTTAACTGGGCAATACACCAGTCTCTAACATTTTGTATTTATGTTATAAATTTCCATCCTGATTTGATCTTTTAGCTCATATATTTTAAGGACTATTAAAATAACCTTTAGATTTTAAATAACCCCATTAAAAGAAGTCAAATTAATAGGCTAAGATCAGGTGATCTGGCGGACCATTTCACTATTCCCCTTCTTCCTATCCATCAATGTGGAAAGGTTCTGTTTAACAATTTGAATAAATATTATACATTTTCATTTGTTCGTTTTTTTGTAGTGTATTGTTTTTTAGCTAATAATGACCGTATGCGTTGCTATATGGTTTTGTCACTTAACCACAGAAATATAGTTGCACCATGTTTCATGATTAAAAATAAGCCGATTAAACAAAACATGCTTAAATAAAATATTAGTGAGTAAAAATTTTTTATATTCTAAATTCGGCAAACATTTTTAGTGTCATGGGATACACCTATCAGCAAAATAGTCAGTTAAATAAACTTTGTCAGTGCCGTACTGCATGAAAAAGTAACACCTTCATCACCTCTAAATTTTATACTACTGTCCAAAAACTTATTTAGACTATCATTTTAAATGTATTGATATTTTTTAAGTAAATTAAGTACTACTGTTGTGAATTCATAAAGTAAGGTTTTTGAAATATTTACACTCAAAAGTGGATATTCTTCATTTTAATTCATTTTTAAATTTGGTAATTTTTTTTTTATAAATTCTCAACAAGACCTGATCTATTATTGTATTAAAAAAAAAACATTAAAATATTTAAAATTATAGTCTAAATAAAGTTTTGGAGAGGTGTAAAATTTAGAAGGGATGAAGGTGTTACTTACCCATGCCGTACACCACTGCAAAGTTTATTCAACTGATTTTTTTGGTTGATAGCTGTATATCTTATGACACTAAAAACGTTTGCTCACTATAATTTTATAAAAAAATCAAAATTTAAAAAAAAATTATAAATGAGGAATATTCACCTTTGAGTGTGAATATCTCGAAAACCTAACACTTTATGAGTTCCCAATAAGAGGGCATGATTTATTAAAAAAAAAAAAAAAAATCAAAAATGTAAAAGTATAGCCCAAATAAGTTTTTGGACAGGGGATTCGGAGGGGATGAAAATGTTACTTATCCACTGGCAAAGTTAATTTAACTGATTGTTTTACTGACTGGTGTGTCATACGTCACCAAAAATCTTTAGCGAATTTAGTAAAATGATACTGAGAAATAAGAAAGTTATAGCCATTATTAATTTTTGAATTTTCAAATTTAACATCATGTATTTCAGAAACCAGTAATATTTTATCTAAGCATGTATCGTTTAAGCGTCTTATTTTTAATCAGAGAATCTTCGGTTGTTCTGTGTCCCATTTTCAGATAAAAATTAACATTGGATTTTGTAACTGGCTTAGAATATAGGGGCAAATGTTGCACTTCACAGGTGTCTGTCTGCCCACTGTATTTATTGTTTAATTTTTTGCATACAAAAAAAAAAAATAAATAAAATTTTCAAAATAAAAACCATATGTAAAAATTATAATCCGTTTGAGATTTGAAATTTATATAAAAAATGTTTTCTTTTTAAACTTTTAACAAACTGTCTCAAAAACAAGTGATATTAAACATCATATTCTTTATCTAATTTTCCATCAATTCCAGCAAAGGTGTTGGAAGTCTTGAAACGACTGTTGTAAGTATTTTGGAGAGAAACTAATCTAAATGATTAACAAAAATGAAATAGAACCTTTTTTTGATATAATAAAATAATAATTTTATCACTTACGAAAAGATCTGTCACTTCGACATGAATTAATTAATAAACTACATGTGGAGGTGCTACAAAATCAACTTTATAAGTTGTTCATTGGAGTTTACTTATGATTTTTGGTTAAAGCTACTACTTCTATGTCCAACTTTTATGTCACTTCATGCACTCTCAACTTATTTTTGAACAAATTCAATGTTTTTAGGACATCGCACTATATGTATGTACGATAAAGATTGTCACCGATGATTTTTCTGAAATAAATAGAATTCAAAACATCTACACATGCAGAGACTAACCTTGGAGGCGATCTCAGAGGTGATCTATATCTAGAGCCCCTTCGAGGCGCGCTAGGTGGCGGGGATCGCCTGGCAGGTGACAATTGCCTGTGGGGCGAACCTCTTAAACTCCCCGAAAACGACCTCGATCGAGACCTATAATCGCAATAAAGAAGACTGTTCAAATAGGGTGAATGTTTAAAACTACACAACAAAACTAACTTACAATTATAAACGAAAAAGAAAAATGAAAGAGAATTAAAGAATTTAAAAATTAAGTTGTGACAAACGATAAAATAGCAAAACATTAAATATTTTGGACCGAGGTAGAATTAAAAAATCTTAAATTAAATTGGAGATTTATGGATTATATAATTTACTATATTTTTAGTTAATTAATAATCGATAACCATACATCATGTACTTGGTACATTAAGATCGGATAGACAATCCTCTTCATGTTTAGACATTGCTTTTGTAATGGCCGTGTTCACCGTCGTTAAACGTGTTGTAATGACGTGTAATCAGTGATAATGAATCATGATGGATAATCATAAAAACGCAAATAGAGCATGCTTTTATGCTTAAAGTTACGTTGAACCCATGTCAATTCAGTTGTTTAGCATTTTGTCTCGATTTTGATTAAAATAAATGGATATTTGTTATGAAAACATAGAGTAAACGGTAGTAATTGTTAATTATTTACTTATAATTAAAAGAAATCAAATCAAATTTAAAATTTGAGGTTAAGAAAACAAAACGTAAACAAAACGATCGTTCATCGTCAGGTCAACTGATACGAGATTCTATGAATTTTAAAACACGTTTTACGACGGTGAACACGCCCAATGTAAATATATTATTGAGCTATCATAATGTATTAATTCGTGATATAATCTATTGAATACAACTTTTGATATCGGGACTATGGATAATCACGCAATGTGAGTTGTGCATTAGCTTTTGCTCTTATCGATAGTTCCAATATTACTCGTTGTATTCATGAAACATATGTCTATTTTGTAACTTTTTTTAGACCTTCCTTATATTTTAAATACGCTACTTAAATATCCCATAGATATTTAAATTTTAACATCATATACATTATCATCCCTGAAGTTTCATGTATGCAGCAATACTTGCATTTGCAGTTAGATAAACATCTTTTTTTCTAATTTTGACATATAAAGTGACATTTTTGTAATTGCAACACAATACACGACAATAACCCACTTTCTATTTTTATAAGTCAATCTGCCCTTCTTTGATATAAACTTTTAATAATTATGTATATTATTAATTTTAAAAGCTAAAAAGGTTTATTTTTATTTGTTTTCTTTTTGCAACTGGTGACATAATGAATTTTTCGGTACCAGTTTCATAATGTACAACATTATGCAACTGGTTGCATAAAGTAGATCATTTTGGCACGCTGAGATTACAAAAAATATTACTATATGTCAAAATTATAAAAAATAATTAAAACATAATATGATTTTTTATTTGCCAATAAAAGAATGAAGTTAACAATAAGTGGTAATATTGGTGGCCTAGATGTCAGTATTTTTTTACCAAAACACAATTTTGTAAATAATTAGTCAAAATTAGAAAAAATATTATATGTAACACGTTACAAAATACAGTTTTATTTAACTCGTTCAAGTTGCGGGTCTTCGCTCTGCTTGTCCCGAAAATGCGTTACATTAAATAAGGCTTTCGTAACTGGTTTCATAAATAGCTATTTTAATTCATTTTAGCTACTTCCCAATAAAATCGCATACGGGAACAGCACAGTAATGTGCACAAGTTATATATTTTACAGTATTTACAGTATTAGGAAGAGTTGGGTAGTATCCGGATAATTTATGTGTATCTGAAAGCTGTATCCGGATACTTTTCAAATTTTGTATCCGGTATCCGTATCCGTGACCAAACTTGTAAGTATCCGGATACCGGATACTTTTTTTTGGCATTTGGATACTTTTAAATTATTTACCACAATCGTAACTGATCCAATCCATATTATCTCTATTAAAATATATAATCGAAATACTTTGAGCTACCCTGTATAATTAGAAGTAAAAAACGTATTTTTCAATATTACAATTTTTAAGACACAATTGCAATAGTAAAATAATTATTTTATTATGATTTGTAGTTTTGTTTGGTGCACTCTGTAAAATTTAAAATAACGCAAAAAAAAATTCTCATTGCCAAGGCTGAATTGGACGATTCACCCAGTATACAGACGGTCGGGATTCAGCATCTTGCGGCACGTTTTTACAGGAAAAATCTTGCAAACCCTTGTCCGGTGTTAGCGTCACGAACTTGTGGAGGTTCCATTAGCCCAAGTTATGTTTCAGTTGGCAAAGACAAGAGACGGTTGTTCCTGTGTTTTTATATAGTGCCATATAACTAAACTTTCTATATCAGTTTTAGTGCCTAACTATACGCAAAGATAAGTAGGTGTAGGTAACTCGAATTTTTTGTTTTGTAAAATGTCTAATTACATTATAAGTTCTTAAAATGTAGTCGAGAAAATACATGTATGACGTTGTTGCTCATAATGTTACTGATCATGTGTTATCAATGTCGTCATCAATAAAGTACACAGATCTGACAAGATCAAATATAGGAGCCTGCTTTGCCTATGCCAGAACGAAACATTCAGCAATCTCTCACTCCTCCTCCTTTCGACTCTACCAAGTACCGCTCGTCGGAGGATCCACAAAAAATAGATTGTCGAATACATCTGATACTGACGAGAATATCGAAAGGTTGTATAAACGGTGACCGGAAAAAAGCGCAAAGGAAATAAGCGCACAGGAAATATGCGCACAGAAAAAAGCGCACAGACATATAAGCGCACAGGAAATAACCGCACGAGGAAATATGCGCACACGGAAAAAACCGCACACGGAAAAAAGCTCACGGGTATAAAAGCGCACATCGAAAAAAGCGCATATGGAAAAAAGCGCACATTGAAAAAAGCGCAAAGTGCATGTAGTTTATATTTATAGTTTGTTACAATTTTTTGTTGTTTGATTAAAACTTTAATTATCGTTGTTTACAGTAGTTACCATAATTTTTGCTGATAATTCAGGAATCTACTCAGTTATTTATTCGGAATTATTATAAGTACGATACAAAGAATAGATCTTGGTTTGTTATATTCCAGGTGAAAAATATAAGACAAGTTTAAAAAAATTCTTAAAATACTTTCACAATAAAGTTAATACGGTTTATAATATTTATATCTCCATTATGGATTGTTGAGGACAGACTAATTCCACCAAATCCGCTTTTAAAAAATCATAACGATCAGTTTCGCCGCCGCGAGGAAATTATGCTGATGGGGTGTATATTTTACTTATCTTATACAGTGTGTATCTTAATTAAAACGAAATATTTGCAAGTGGTCATTTATTTTTACTGGAGATTATAAAATTAAGATAGGTACTTATTATTTCATTTATTAGTTGCTTTTTTGTTAATAATTTTTAATTCAGGATAAATCCCATGCCGTCATAAGTTGCCACATTCAGTTTCAAGTAACTTGTATACTTTCGTCTTTTAACAAGCAGAAGGCAACGGAAACAGACATTTCATTTGCATATGCATGGATGTTAAACAGTTTGGCAGCTCATTTTTCCCATTTAAGTTGGCGAAATTTACGAAATTTTTCGAAAATAATTAAAGGGGTCACTAAACGGCATTTACAAGAATTGATAGTCGAAACGTTTTAAATAAAGACACGAATTAAACTCAAACTGGGGTCTATTCTGTAACAATTCCTTTATATTTAACGGCCTTTAAAAATATTTTATTCTTTACTTCTGTCATTATTTAAACGGATCTTTAAAATACATTAGAGGACCATCTTAAAGAAATCTGTTTAAATAATGAAGAAGTAAATTAACGAATACGAACATATGTTTAAAGGCCGACAATATTTTTAAAGGACGTTAAATATAAAGGAATTTTTACAGAATAGACCCCATTGTGCCTAATATTTTAACATTTAAAATCTTCTTAGAATAATGTTAGGTACTCATGGATTATATCATTAATATCTATTTATTATAGACCGTTTCATTAATTAGACAAACGTCTTGCAAATTTGATAATCTTCTTTTAATATTGTAAGGTAATTAGGGATTATATCATTAATATCTATTTATTTAGACCTTAACCTGAATTAAACTAAAATTTTTCAAAATTTAAGAATCTTCATAGAATAACGTTAGGTTTTTGGAATTCTGTCATAATAACTTTATTTCATAATATTTTATAATAAATTACGTTTATAAGTAAGTTACTAGTAAGTTACTGAAGACTGGTTTTATTTTTGTTTCGCGCTAATTTTAAAATTCAGACAAGTGTACTATATTTTTTATTGATAAATAGAATTGGTTTTTGGTTCGAAATATTTTTGGAGTTCTATTATGATTTTTGATCATTGTTTTCATTTATAATGTCATAATCGTTAACGATTTGTAATAATTATATTTATGAAATTCCCGTTGTAATGATTTTGCATTTTTTTGTAAAATGGCGAGTTTTATAGGTACATATTTTATCTTTAAAACCTAAATATTTTTGCAATTCCATGTTGATTTTATTTTAATTTTATAATCGTCAACTATTTGTACTAATATATTCATGGATTTGTGTTTATATTTTTTTATATAATAATGTAGGTACAAACGTAAAATGCATATAGGTTTTTAGTGTAATATATTTTTATTCCATATTAATACATTAAAAACGAAAAAATGAATAATGTAACAAAAGATAAACGCTAATAGACGTACTACTGTAAGTTGGCTATTCTCCTTAAGTAAGATACTTTGTTATCTGTTTCTTGATACTTTTCTACAGAACTGGCTACAAGCGCGTACAGTTGTCTGTATTTCTTTTTGGTGGGCTCCAGTCTGTTAGCTTGGGAGTTCACCAATGTAAGTTTGTGGCATGCTAAATCTCTTCTCAATCCATCGAAAAGCATCCATATGCTCGGATGATTGCAATGAAATATGGAATTAAGGGCATTGTGAAACCCTTCACAACAATTGGTCGTTCTTGGCGTTTCATCAAGAGCGGCATCGTAATGGTTCCATATTCTCGGATGGAATTGTGTACTTCTTCCGGCGGCACCT